AGGAGGTTATAGTTATTGGTGATTCCTTGACAAGGCATGTGGATAAGATAGTCTGTGGGGTAAAGTGGGAGAAAAGAATTAGATTATGCTACCCAGGGGTACAGGTGGAGAATATAACTGACAGAGCAAGAGATATAATAAAGGGGCTAACAGAGATGCAGTTTTTGTTGCACTTGTAAGGAATAATGATGTACAGAAAGGTAGATCAGAGGAGCTAATTAATAAGTACAAAGAGTTGATAAAGGCATTTAAAGAAAAAGGACATAACTTGATTGTGTTAGGAATACTGCTGAGAATTAATTGTGAGGATGAAATTATCAGTAGGTCACTAGTGCTAAATGCTAGGCTTAGGTTACTATGCAAGGTTGAACAGATTGGCTGGCTGGACTTGTGGGTTCAGTGCAGTGTGAGAAGGGAGCTTTTTGGAATGGATGGTTTACACTTAAATAGGGTAGGATCTGGCTTATTTGCAAGGGCTATTAACTCAGCTTTAAGGGAAGATTTAAACTAGGACTACACAATGGTGAGAACCAGAATAAACAAAATGCAAAAAAAACAATATATAGTGAAAACTTTATCGAAAGAAATAAGTATAGAAGTAGTTCTTCTAAGGATAGGCTTAATTGTTACTATTGTAATACCAGAAATATAAGAAATAAAATAGATGAATTTAGGGAATTTGTAGGAATGGAGGATTTTGATATAATGATAATTACTGAAAAATGGTTAAATGTAGATGATTCTGATGGCAGGAATTTCTTTGAAATACAGGGTTACAGGCTATTTAATAGGATAGAGTACTAAAGAGAGGGGAGGAGTGGCTTTATATGTAAAATGTGAGTTACATCCTGTTGAAGTTGAGGATATCAAAGATAACAGCAAGGTGATTGAATCCATTTGGGTTTCTATTATCAGATATAAAGGGAAAAGGCTTTTAGTGGGAATTTGTTACAGACCACCAGGTGATACTGATGAAATTAGAAACTTTACAGTAAGATTAAGATTTTAGTTGTTAATGAGGTCATAATTATGGGTGATTTTAATTTCAGGCATATAGATTGAGAAATGCTAGAGTCAAACTATGAGGGAGAATGGTTTTTGGAAACTGTTCAAAATAGTTTTCTTCACCAATTGGTCAACCTACAAGAAGCAGTACTATTTTAGATTTATTGTTAACTTCTAATATAGAAATTTTTGAGAGGGTGGAAATTGGGGAACATCTGGGTGCAAGTGATCATTGTTCTATTTGGTTTGATGTTTTGCTGCATATGGAAATCAGAAATAATGATATTTTGGTTACAAGTTTCAAAGAACCAAATTTTGAAAGGATGCAACAAGAATTACCTCTTGTGAATTGGGAAGCTGAATTATTTGGAGACTGATCAAATTTGAAAAATTTTAATTATAAAATTTTAAATATTCAAGGTAAACATATTCCTAAAAGAAAGAAAAGGGTAGCGCAAGGAAAACCAGGTGGGCTCAAAAAGGGTATAAGAGATAAAATTAAAGTAAATCATCACAAATTTAATAAATTTAAATTGAATGGTATGACAAAAGATTTAGAAGATTACAGAAGATCAAGAAAGTTGGTCAAACAAGAAATTAAGACTTCAAAAAGAATGTATGGAAAAAGGTTGGCTGAAAATGTAAAAATTAAAAGTAAAGATTTCTTTATGTACATTAAGGATAAACAAAAT